TTCCCAACTCCCCCAGATCCCTCAGCGCTGGCTCAGCCCGACTCTTCAACCCCCCCAGGGATCCCGGGGACTCCCCCCTGCCCTGGGCAGCCCATTCCAACGCCCAACAGCCCCTTCTGCACAGAAATCCTTCCTCAGAGCCAGCCTGACCCTGCCCTGGGCAGCTTGAGGCCATTCCCTCGGGGCCTGGCGCTGGGGCCTTGGCTCCAGAGGAGGAAACCAAGACTCGTACAGGTGAGAAAGGCAGGGAGGGGTTACCTGGTTGCTCGTTTCCCACAAAGTGGGCATTTCCATTCTTCTGTAGCCCCCTGTGATCCCCTTGGAGAGGAAAAAAATCTTCCTTTCTCCTCCCTACATGCTCTCCTTAAGCTCTGGGCTGTAAGGTGCCAGCCCAGCCCTTCGGCAGCCAGTGATGCTCTTTGAACCCAGGGCAAGCCATGGCCCTCTCTACACCCGTGACACACCCAGATGTCACCTCGCTCCCTTGGCAGGTGACAGGGCACCGCTCCTGCCTTGCCCTTGAAAATCAGCCACGCCACCGCCAAGTCAGCCAGCAGAGCAGGATACACTCTCCTGGACCTCCCGAAGCAGCACACGGGGCTCCCCGCGAGACAAACCTGAGCTCCCCAGCAGCGCGGTGGGGGTTCGGAGACCACCAGCTCATCCGAGTGGGCAGCCCAGCATGTCCCAGCCAAGGCAAAGCCGGGCTCTTGTCATCGTCAATACCAGTTTCTGCAGCAGTGATGGTGATGTGGTGTTTGGGACCCGGAAAGGAGCCGAGAGAGAAGCAGAGAAGCTGTCCAGGATACTCTCACGGCTCAACTACACGGTGAAGCTGATGCATAACAAGACAGCCAAGGAGATAGAAGATCTTTACCAGCAAGGTACGCGTCCCCCTGCCAGCCCCTAAGCCCCCCCTCCTCATTTTCCCCCAAGCCCAGCTGTCTCCCACTTCCCATCCCTTGGTCCAAGTGCCCTCCGTTACGCCCCGAGCCGATGCTCGAAGTCATCGGTTTGGCCGTGTCGTTGCAGAGCGCGGCTGCGAGCACGGGCAGTACTTTGTGAGCATCATCTCCAGCCACGGAGAGGAGGGAGTCATATTTGGTTGCGACGCGGAGCCGGTGAAGCTGACCCGGATTTTCCAGATTTTGTCCTCAGAGAAGTGCCCGGTGCTCACCAAAATACCCAAAATCTTCTTTATCCAGGTAACACAGCTGCTGGATGATAATTTGATCCCTTTTGCTAAGCCTGTGCAGAATTAGACCAGCACAAGCATGAGGCTTAAGGACGCTGCCTGTATAAACCTGTTTTAACTGTGGATGATGGTACATCCATATGAGAGCTTGGTCCCTTTTTCACTCCCCAGCTTCCCACCACGACCCTCCATCCCTCTTTTTTTCACGCTTTCGCTGATTTAAAAGCCTCCTTGCTCACTGCACACACTCCTCTCCCAGCCTCTCATCACCCATGTCCCTTCTTTGGGAAGCAGCCTTGGTCTTCCACCAGTGTCTTCAGACAGGAGTTTCTCCTGGTGGTTTGCACCCTTTGGACTACCTGGGCAGAAAACAAATCGTTTGCCATGATAGGTGGCACTGCCGGGATCAAATAGTCCTCCCAGACACCTCCAGGATACAGATGAACCAGTAAAAGCTGCCATCAAATCCCATCACCACGACATTTGGGCACATTAAACTCCTGGGGTAAGGTCAGGAGCCCAGCTGTGAACTGGTGATGCAGTAAGGAAAAAAAAATAAAGCCCACAGCTGGTTCCCAAGCAGTGAAGCAGGGGGAAGTGTGAACATGCCCTTGCAGGAAAGGAGCCCTGGAAGTCCGCTTTAACGCTGATCTGACAGGGATTAGATCACTGAACAAACAAATAATCCAGAAACTGGACGGAGACCAGCAGATAGAGTGAGCTCTGCAAACATTATGCAAACATACAGAAATGTTTTCACCTGAAAGCAAATATAAATCACTCACGGCATTTGTTTGCTTCCAGCAAAAGGCTTGGCCGCTGCTCAGGGAGTGGTGACAGCCAGGGACGTCCCCCAGATAAGCCAACAAAGTCTGGCCTGAGCACAGACATCAGCAGGCAAAGCTTGTGCTCGTGCTGATGAAAAATGTCCTCGCAGAGGAGCACCGCAGGGCTGAGGGGGGCCAGAGCCCGGGCTGGAAGAGTGGGGCTGCTTCCCCTGGGCACTGCCACGGCTCTCAGCTCCCTGCAGCCCCTGCCCACCTCCCGGGGGGTCACAGCCTGTCTGCGGCATCTCCAGGGGCCGTGTCCGAGTGAGGATTTAACCACTGGCGTTTGGGGTAAACTCCCCTTTCCCCTAACGCGGGGAGCGGGTGCCACTGGTGTTTGGTCTGGTCCCAGCCAACACGTCCCAGCAGCGGCAACTCCAGGTAGGGGTGAAACACGTCCTCAGAGCAGCCTCAGCACCACTAGTCTCTCTCTAGCACCTTCCCAACACCAGCCCAGCATGCTGTCCCTGCCAGACCAGACCATTACACAGGACTTGGCACTGGGGAGGCCACCCCTCGCTGAGGGTTCAGTTCTGGGCCCCTCACCCCAAAAAGGCCATTGAATGACTCGAGCGTGGGCAGAGAAGGGCGACGGAGCTGGGGCAGGGTCTGGAGCACAGGTCTGCTGGGGAGCGGCTGGGGGAACTGGGGGGGTTCAGTCTGGAGAAGAGGAGGCTGAGGGGAGACCTCCTGGCCCTCGGCAACTCCCTGCCAGGAGGGGGCAGAGAGGGGGGATGAGTCTCTGGAGCCAAGGCCCCAGCGCCAGGCCCCGAGGGAATGGCCTCAAGCTGCCCAGGGCAGGGTCAGGCTGGCTCTGAGGAAGGATTTCTGTGCAGAAGGGGCTGTTGGGCGTTGGAATGGGCTGCCCAGGGCAGGGGGGAGTCCCCGGGATCCCTGGAGGGGTTGAAGAGTCGGGCTGAGCCAGCGCTGAGGGATCTGGGGGAGTTGGGGGGGTCAGGGGGAGGGTCATGGTTGGGCTGGAGGAGCTGCAGGGGCTTTTCCAACACGGATAATTCTGGGGTTCTGTAATAAAGGACCGTGCACAAACCGGGCTGGCCATGGGCTCTGCTCTGAGGGGATTCTCTGCCAGCACTTTCCTAGTGGACTCTTGCATTTCCAGGTGTATTTCTGGGTTCACACACGCAGCACCACCTTTAGCATGGAGGGGAGGGGTAAATGCAAAGAGAAGGAGAATCAGCCTTGCGAGAAATGCGTAGGGAAGAGGAGGGAGCCCCATCTTTAGGCTCATCACGAGAGACTTGGCAAAGCTGAGCTGCAATGGATGAGAAGGGATGAGGCTGGTCAACGATGAGATGGGGAGGAACCATTTGGGGTTGCAGGACTTGGGGAATGGGCAGCGGGAGGGGCTCTGCATCACAGGAGAGGTTGCAGGCTTGGCCTGGATGGGGCTACAGGTCCACAGGGAGCCCCCAAAGACCCCAGAAGGCTTGCCCTGGAGACAGGGAAAAGGGAGAGAGCAGAGCAGGGGGAAGTCACAACAGCGGTTTTGCCTGCAGGCTTGCCGAGGGCAAGAGTTCGACCAGGGGGTGGTTGTGGAGTGTGACAGCGGGGAGCCGGGGCCGGACTACGAGCCAGGATACCTCTCCATCCCTCCCCAAACTGTTGTGATGTTTGCCTGCAGTCCAGGTAAGGGAGAGACCCTGACACACCAACTCTGGCTAAAAACATTTTGTTTTAGAGACATTGCCTTCACGAGGCCATGGCACAGCCAACATCAGTCTTCTCTATGCTCTGCAGGCTACGTGGCCTTCCTCAACATCTCCGGATCCATGTTCCTCCAGGCCCTGCTCAAGGTCCTGGAGGGTGAGGAACGTCACCTGGCCCTCAACCGCCTCATGACCCGCATTAACTGGGAGGTGGCCTTTCACTGCCAGGCCAGGGGTGCCTACAGGGGATGCAAGGAGATGCCCTGCTTTGTCACCAACCTGGTGCAGGAGGTCTTCCCCTTCTCAGCACCCATCGTGGAGGAAGCAGACAGTGTTTGAGAGCTGCTGGTTCTGCAGAAAAGCCCAAGGGGTGAAGAGCATCATCTTGGTTGTGAGAAGTTCCCTGCTATGCATGTTAAAAAAAAAGACAAGTTACACAAAAACAAGCAGAAAACCCCTCTGGGAAGGTCACCAGGTCAAGCTGAGATGTGCTGGAGCTACCGGGGAGACACAAGCCAAGTGCAGCCGGGGCAGATCTGCAGAGCAGGAACATCTGATTTAAGCACACGACGGTGCAGTGACACCTAAACACCCCACAGCAGCACCCCCAAGCCATGGCTGCCCGCAGCTCCGGAGGGGGACGTAAACCTGCTGCTCTCCCTCACCTTCCCGGACAAAAGAGCCCCAACCTTGCAAATGCAACCTCACCTGGGGGTTGTTGGGTTTTTTTAATTTAAACAAACCTTCACAGGCCACAGACTTCTGTTTTACAGAGAGAAAGGTGGTGTGTTGACTTGGCTGGTGCCCTACCCGTAATGAAAATACTGCTGTAAACATCACCTCATGCTCAAGCTGTTTGTTCATGAGGCTGTTTAAGAATTCAAAGCAGAAAAACAAAAAAAAAAATTAAAAATAGGGTGATTAGCAGGATGGTGGGTTAACTTGGGACCTGGAGTAGAGCTCATGGAGTGGATCTGGGAGCATTTGCTCAAGACAGCTCTCAGAGTTCAGGACTGGTAACCGGGTCTTTGTGAGCTTCCTTCTTGCATGAGCAAGGGGAAAGGGGCAAAGCTCCAGCTGGGATGCAAGTGGAAGGGATGGATGGGCTGGGACTCCTTGAGGATCTGATGTATTTGCTCGAGGTTCTCTCCTCCCATTGTCTCTTTGGTACCAATAACCACAAAATAAAGAAGCCTGAGGGGCTCCTGCGCTGCATACAGGGACATCCCTGGTGAGACAGGGGATCGGCCCTCAGGCACAGGAGGAGGGAGGGGCTGAGGGAGCAAAAACCTCCACCACAACGTGCTGAGTTTCACCCTGTGCTCACACATTAAGCTCAGGCATTAAACCTGCACCGCCTCCGCCCTAAGGGCCTCTTGGATAAACTCTGGCCCTAGTGGTATTTCTCAGCCTAGCCCCGAGCAATTCAGCTTGATAAGCAGAACCCAACCCAGCTAGCAGATAATTTTGGTTTCATTTGGCATTTTTTCCACTCCTGGACTTTGAGGCATGGGTAGGCATGCAGGGCAGCCACCCCAACACAACCCATGCTCAGCACTCACATCACAGGACGAATCACACAATATCACTCAGGTTGGAAAAGCCCCTCGGGGTCACCGAGTCCAACCCTCAGCCCGACTCCACAAAGCTCTCCCCTACCCCACATCCCCCACAGCTCATCCCAACGGCCCTGAAACCCCCCAGGGATGGGGACTCCCCCCTCCCCGGGCAGCCTGTTCCACTCTCGGACAACTCTCGCTGGGAAACATTTTCTCCTCCTGCCCAGCCTGACCCTCCCCTGGGGCAGTTTCCAGCCGTTCCCTCTTGTCCTGTCCCTGATCCCCTGGGAGCAGAGCCCAGCCCCAGCCTCTCTGCAATGTCCTGTCAGGAGCTGCAGAGAGGGATGAGGGCTCCCCTCAGCCTCCTCCTCCTCACACTGAACACCCCCAGCTCCTTCCCTGGCTCCTCGCAGGATTTATTCTCCAGCCCCTCTGCCCTCCTCTGCACGTCCTGGCACGTGTGATGGGACACTCATGCTGCTGCCTCTCTCCCTTCAGGGACCTGCAGGGTTGTTCCTTCCCCGCTACATTCACTCTACCTGTAGGAATAAAAGAGTTTTGAGACCTCTACAAGCAGTCTCAAATCAGGGTGGAAGCAGGCAAGTGGTTCAGAGCGCTCTTGGAGCACGAGTCAGTAATTCCCGTTTCTCTGGGGACACAGCAGAGCGGCACTTTGATCTCCTCGTAAGATGACTGGGATGAGCACTCCCTCGACAACCCCGAGTGCAGATGAATGGAGAATTTTCATTTTAATCCCCCATTTCCACTATTTTTTTCTCCCCCAAGCTTTCAGCAATGCTGTCAACAGGAAAACAAGCAGCCCTCCCTTTTTCCTAGCCCATCCTCTGTGCTCACAGCCAGGCAGTTGGTGTCCAGCCAAGCTGGAGGAGAGTGGATTTTCTCCTTTTAGGGAAAAACTGGGGGAAAGGAGAAAGTTTCTTTCATTTACTGCAGGAAGCAGGAGTAAACACGACCCAAAAGCGTCCTCATCATCTGCTCGTGATGATGGCACCTCCTCTTCCCTTCCCAGGGCTGGTGGGGCAGCAGCATCCCAAGCTCTCGCCCTGGGGGAACACAAGTGGCACCACTGGGCTCCTGCTTTTCCAGTCTCCCCCAGTAGAGGAGACGGACTGTGCTGGGATCTGAGCTGCGTTCTCCTCAGAGCCTCCCTGTGGGTGAAAGAAGAAATACAACAGGACAGATCCACGACTGAGCTCAGTTAAAAGCAGTTTAAACCCTTGTTTTAAGGTCAGGTCGGCAATAACCCCGCTCAGTACCACGCGTACGAGGGACCAGGCCGGTCAAGAGGATCGTGAAGCAGACTGGAAATTTTTCAAATCCGCTCTTGGCTGAAACCTGTCTGGGTTCCTTCCGGAACAGGGTTAGTTGGTCACATGAGGGCCAAGCCTGCATGTGCAAATCAAGCACACAAAGCTTTGAACACAAATCACTCAGCTCAAAGAGCTGTTGCTTTTTTTGTTGTTGTTTTGGGGGGTTTTTTTTGTTTGTTTTTTTTTGTTTTTTTTTTTTTTTCCACAAAGAGGAACTAACCTGCACTGTTGTTGCCAGGTTTCAAAGGAGATCACACAAAGAACGAAAAAAGAGGTGATAACTCAATGCTTTTTTCTTTTTTTTAAATCCATTTATTGACTTCACCACACAGAAAAAAAAAAAAAGTACAAAGAAATATAAAAATTCTGATCCTTCAAAGCAAGTTGCGTTTCAATGCAGCAGAAAACAAACCATTTGCTGATTCAAACCGGCAAGGCAGCTGGCCTCAAAGTAGTAACACTTGGCAAAAAACCTACGTACCAACAGATACCATCCATTCAACACACAAGTTGTGTCCAAAGGGAAAAGGTTACGTGCACCTTGGCCCGTCTGAAACACATTGCATAAATTTAAATACCATAAAAATCAATAAACCAGGAGTCACTCCCGGAGGCTTCACACAGCTCGGACAGTCACAGCGACCAGAAACACGCTGCCCTCGTGAATTGCTAGGGAGGAGGAGATTAGGGGGGAGTCCCCCCGATTCAGCCTGGCGTGAGCAAGGCAAACCCTGCACTTCCCAGGCACTGAGTGTTTCTCTCTTGGAGCCACGCCGGGGAAAACGGCAAACCAACAGCTCTACCAAGACATGAGGTACGTCCTCGTTAACCTAACGAGCTCGTGCTGGGTCCAACCCGACAGTCGATGTCTGAGGTACAACAGTCCTGCTCTCCAGAGAACTCACTCGCTTTGGCTAACAGCTAACGGCTGGGAACGGGGGTGGGATTTCCAACACAACTTGGAACAACAGAGGATTGAAAGGGATTTGAAAAAGCTCGTGGAATAGAAAAGCAAGCAGACAGTGGAGAGAAACTTTTGTTAAATTATTTTTCAATTAAAAAAAAATAGGACAAAGCAGGAAAACAGCACACACACTCTAAAAATTCAGGGATGAGCAGCTCAGAAGCACGTGGTATTTCAGATGTTGAGTATGTTCATTCCCCACCCTCTGCTGTCATTAGACAAAAGCCACCACCCTCCCACCCCGCATCCTGTCTGTAAATCAGCCACACAACACTGAGCCTCAGACATATCCTACGGGATCTCTGAGACAGTGGAGTGTTGTTGCAGGAGTTCCCACCCTTTTCTAAAGGCACACTTCCCCCAAGGGTTCTGTTCCCAGACTTGTTTTCCTTTTTCTTCCCTCCACCTCACACTCCCATCCTCCAAAATAGCTTCTGTAAGTGCTTTTAGCATCAGAAAAGTTTACTACAGAAACCTTGAAAGCTATTTAAAGCCAAGAGGGACTTTCTCTTGCTCTTTGTGCTTGCTAACAGCCAGCAAAAAAAAAGAAAAAAAAAAAAAAGAGAGGATCTTTCTTTTAGGAGACGGTCGAGCCCCTTCTCCCCTCTTACATGGGGAATACGAACCACTAAGGAAAAAATAATACACAGCTGCAGCTTTCATGTCCAGACAAGGAAAGGTCTTTGCCCTTGTCAAACGGGACTATCTTTAGCAACCACAGAGCAGATTACCAATTGTTCACAACCTCGGGAAGGACGGAAAAAGGTTGGCCTCATCCCACGAGTTCCTTCACAGCCAGCTGCAGGGAAGCTAACCCCACCAGGACCCTCCCCCGGCGGTCTGTCAGCAAGCGCATGGAGGGCGATGCACGCGAGCTTCGGGCAGAGGTGGGTACCCGTGTGAAGAGCTCTACATGCTTCATACCAATTTTTTCTGCCCATATTGGAAACAAAACCCAAAAAACCCAAAAGCAGAAGCCAGGCAGGCACTTCATGCCTTCTTCAGAAACATCCAGTCTCAAACAAACATCTTTGGAGTAGAACTATAAAAATAAAACCCCCCTCGCAGCTGTAACTTGTGAATCAACATGTTTTGCAGACTTAAATATAACCAGTACCTCCCAGGCCCTGCTTTAAGTGCTCTACAGTAATACCCAAGTGACCAGCTCGGCAACAAGCAGCCAGTTCCGTGTTACATACAACCACACACACTCCTTCAAGGCGGGGCTGGCAGAGCCGCGGAGGAGCGGGCAGGGGTCGTGCCGGCGATGCCGTGAGCCCTTTCGCATGCCGCTCACCCACTAAGGAGGCAGAAGACACCCCGTGGTGACTCAGGCAGAAAAGACGGTGCCTGCACTGCAGGCTACGACGCTTTCCCGGTGCCAGAAGCACTGGGCGGGTGTTGCTTGGGCGACTCAGGGGACAAGCAACCCCCAGGAGCAGCCCCCTCGCTGCTGGAGCGGGCAGACAGTGGCACTTCTCCCGCAAGAGCCGACGCCGAGCGCTCAGCTGCTTATCCATAACTGACGGAGGCTCCTGGGCCTCAATACTGCGCTTCTGAGGAAGAGGGCTGAAGAACTACAAGGTTCATTCATCCCAAACGATTCAGGATTCCCATACATTTTACACATAACTACGTTTCACATGGGGGAGGAAAGCAATCTTCCAAGGCGAAGTCTGCTACAACTACACCACGGCAATTTGGCACAAAGCTGTCTAAGCCTAACCCGCCCTCCTTCACAGCATCAAATCACAACTGTCACCTTTAGTGCAAACATCTGAACTCTGGGGATTGCGAGGGAAAGAGACCCGTGTGGAGCACAAGATGCAGGTGAGGAAGTTTAAGCTACAACCTAAGGGCCAAAGACTGCTCCAGCATTTCCAAAGAGGCACATGAAAGAGAGAATCTAGAGGATCAACTCTGACATTGTCTCCGTCACAGAAAGAATCAAATCAAAAGCGAGTCCTTGGCAGATCATTTCGAAACTAGTGCAATCAGTCATGCTCGGAACTTTCGCATCCAAATACAATGGACAGAAGAGGAGAATGTCTGTGTCTCAAGCAGACTGTGCTGGTTACAAAGGCAGCTCTATGATTCTGGGAGGGGAAGGTCAGATGGCTCACTTCGCAGGCAGATTTTTTTTTTCCCCCCAAGAGGAGACGTCAGTACAGTAGATGGCAGATTCCATTTCATTTGGACACAAAAGTTCTGTCAAGTGCTGGGGACTGGCTTTTCCTGGGTCACAGGCCAGAAGCCAGGCGCCCAAGCGGAAAACAAGTTCATCTTCAGACAGCTGGGAAAGGAGAAATGCATTCTGAGGAAGTGAGAGGTTTAACGTTACCAAGTGCAGGTGCAAATGTAAAAGCATTTCCCCTTCTTCCTGTTGTCTGAAATCTGAACAGAGCAGCACAGCTACAACTCAGAGCGCTACAGCAGGGGAGTCAGTGGGTGTCCCAGTGTTCCTGCATTTTCATTGCTGGCCGTCATTATTCCACTGAATATCCGAGGAGGAATCTAGATCTGGAAAGGCAAAAGGAAAGGTTTAAACAATTTGAAAGCTCAGCATTGCTTTTCTACTCTGACAAAACATCACGGTTTGAGAGGACCGAGTGTGTCTGATGAGCTTTCAAATAAAAACCAAGCTCTTTCTAACTGCCTGGCTGCTTTACTGTGCCTCAGGGACAAGTCGGGGAATTCCTGGCAAGGGAAACAAATTCTTGAAATATTGGTGAGACTAAATAGGGAAGTTGTTTCCGTGGCACTCAGATGGTTTCCCCAGCCAGGCATGGCTGCAGTTTGGGGAGGGAGAGAGTGGAGCTTCCACTCCCAACAGCACACTGCACCTCTGCGAGCTGAAAACAAGCCGGGTAACACTGCCCTGAGTTTTACATCCCAAATCCCTAACGGTGTTTGAAAATGGCCATTGTTGGTCCCCCAAATGCTGACGGCCTTCTGAGAGACTAAGGTTCAGACTTCTAAAAAATTTTCTTCCCTTGTCTCCTCATCTTCCCATCGCAGAAAATAATACAGACACATCTGACTTCAAAGACAGCAGGTGAAAAAAGTCTCAAAGGGAAGAAGAAAGGCCAAATCCCACTCTTCTCCCGCTAAAAACTTCTTTGAAAAAGCAATTTGAGTCAGTGACAAATTATTCTTAAGCACACCTGAGCTCAAGACTCAAATTCTGCCCTGTGTTAGCTCTGCCATTATTTCTCAACATCATTGCTTCCATTTTCTGGCAAAATCCTGTTCCTAAACCACAAATGGAGTTTTTTCTAAAAAATCTGCTTCAACACCAACCAGGTAGGGGCTTCATGACCATTTCTGATGTGAAAGGCCAATATATCACAACACGAAGCAGGCACCACAGCCCTCTCCCAGCCAGCCCAGCTCCTGGGGTGAGGCAGCATCGGACTGGGTAGATCTTACCTTTTGATCCAGTCTCTGATAATCGCCAGATTTGGGCCGTCGACCGCTTTTTGATCTTTTCCCTTCTAGAGCAAAAGCAATGATCTTTGGAGAGAGAAGTGGGGACAACGTGAGTGGGAAGGTAGTGACCATATAAGCTTTTTCTGACTTCAAACACAAGCATGTTCTAATGGGCCAAAGACCAGCTTCACTTACCTTCTTCTAGTGAGCATATTTAATTTGAAAAAGCACTCAAAACAAATAAATACAATATATAAACCTAGCTAAGATGAAAGCAGGTGATAGTGAGGTTTGCCTAACATGCAGAAAACAGTTAAGCCTTTGTTCTCTTTCTCCTACCTCAAAAAATAGCTTTATAAGAGGAAAAAAAATCCCAGCAAAAGACAGTGATGTCATTTGAGCTGCATCCCCCTGTGCAAGACTACTTAAGGACAAATCTTCGTCAGTCTGCTACAGAAAACTCATTGTCAGCGAGAAAACACAGGGTAACTTCACAGATCTTTCTTCTCACCTCTCTCAGCTGCAAATAAACACCAGAGCTGAGGCCATCTGATTTCCTCCCCTTTCCTGGTTACAAAAACCTCTCTGCTCCTCCCAAAGCTGTTGGGACCAAGGCTCAGATTAACACTAACCAGACCCACATCGTGCAGCGAGCGGGAGGCACTGGTGAGAAACAAAGGTCAGGCCGAGGAGAAAGGTTTTCAGCCGAGCAGGTCTCAGTCTGCAGCAGTGACCAGCAAGAGGAAAGGCAGTTCCTAAACCCCAGGGGAGAAGTGGAGAGCCCGGGGGAGAAGCACAGCCACTCACCTTGCGTTTGTTGTGATACGCAACATATAAGGCAGCAACGATAATGGCCGTGGTCACCAGGTAGGCGAAGAAGTGGCTGCTCTCTGACTGGTCCCTGGGGGAAGAAGGAACGCTCTTCTCTTTCTCCTTGTTAGAGGAGGCGGCATCGTTGCCAGCTCCAGCCCCATCCTCTTCCTCTCCGGGGCTTTCTTCAGTGTCTGGAAAGTTGTCACCCTCTGTAGCAGAAGAGGTTTGACTACCCTGGTTCTTGGCCTGGTTATCACTGTCGCTGCCCTGGTTGCTGCCCTGGTTGTTGGTGTTGCTGCCCTGGTTGTTGGTGTTGCTGCCCTGGTTGTTGGTGTTGCTGCCCTGGTTGCTGCCCTGGTTCTCGGTGTTGCTGCTGCCCCCATTGTTGCCCTGGTTGTTGTTGCCATCACCAGCACCACTGTTGCTCTGGGCATTGTTGCCACCGTTGTCCACATTGTTGCCATTGTCTCCATTGGTGCTTGGGTTATTGTTGCTGCCACTAGTACCGCTGTTGCTCTGGGCATTGTTGCCCGAGTTGTTGTTGTTCTGGGCATTGTTGCCTGGATTGTTGTTGCCACCACCAGTACCACTGTTGCTCTGGGCATTGTTGCCTGGATTGTTGTTGCCATCACCAGCACCGCTGTTGCTCTGGGCATTGTTGCCCGGGTTGTTGTTGCCATCACCAGCACCGCTGTTGCTCTGGGCATTGTTGCCCAGGTTTTTGTTGCTCTGGGCATTGCTGCCACTGTCCCCATTCTGGTTGGTGCTGCCTCCACCGTTACTCTCATTGTTGCTATTACCCTGGCCCTGGTTGTTGCCATTTTGGTTGTTGCTGCTGCTGTCCTGGTTGTTGTCCTGCTTCTGGGTGTTGTCATCCTGTTTCTGATCCTGGCTCCCATCACTGCCACCTTGGTTGCTGTCCTTGTTTTCCTCCTTTTTGTTGTCAGTGCCCTGGTTCGGGTTGGTGCCCTGGTTACTGGGGCTGCTGTTCTGGTTGTTGGCCTGGCTACTGGTGCTGCTGCCTGATTTGTCGTTGCCGTCTTTGTCACCCTGACCAGCGCTTTGGCCACCACCACTCTGCCCATTGCTGCCCTGCCCACCAGTCTGCTGCTCCGTGCTACCCTGGCCAGAAACACCTGTGTTCTGTTTTTTATCTGTTGTCGCTCCGTCACTCGTGTTCAACTGGGTGTTTTCCTCACTGGGTGTACTCGATCCAGAGCGTTGCTTTTTATTATCTTCGGACTCATCCTGGTGCTCAGTCCCCTGCGGTTGTGGGCCGTTACCTGCTCCTTGCTGTGCGGATCCTACACCACCTGCTGAAGGTTGGCTGGAGTCTGTTTTCGAGTCAGCAGCTGTCAGCAAACACGGAGGTCAGTCACAGCCCGCCCCTGCAGTCGGCGTGAGCAGCAGACCCGGCTGTCTAAGCCAGCTCCCCGGCCCACGCAGCCCCGCCGCCGCCAAAAGCGGAAGGAAGCTCTCTGGAAGGAGTTTCCCCCGACGGGAGGGGGGAACCAAAGGGGTGACAAGCCCGGCGGCAGGGTGTCCGCGAAGGAGACACCCCTAGCCCCGCCGCGGGACTCCCACCACACGCAGAAAAGTGCCCAACGACAGAAGAACCCCCGCAAACCAAGCGCCCGTGTCAGACCCATCCCGACCCGAGGGCAAGCGCTACTCTGCCTTCGCTACTCCTCACCCCGGGCGCTGCCGAGTGCCAAAACCCACCCGCTCCCCTTCAGCGCGTCCGCGCCGGGTCCGCCCAGCACCCCAGCCCCAGGCCCCCTCCTCGCCCCGGGCACCCCCGGCCGCCCTCCTCCAGCCTCTCACCCTCGAGTCGGGCGGCGGCGCAGAGCGCTAAGAGCAGCAGGAGCAGGCGCAGCCGCA